CCCAATCCGATCCGCGTCCATAATCCGTAGTGTGACACAGGCATTAGGCCTGAATCAGACTACGCATTGAATATTGAGATTGAAGATTGAAAGATTGAAATTTGACCAATTGAAACAGGAGTGTTACATCCCAGGGTTCGACCGACGGATCAGATTGGGATTGCGGATCGCGGATCGGAATTCAGCCAATCAAGACAAGGCAGTTTCGGATCCGGATTGTAGATTGCAGAATAGAGGGCTCTCTATTTTTGCGATCGTAATCGTGATCCAAGCCAATAAAACATCGAGTTTGGTCACATGACCCATTTATGATGGAATGGTTAGCCACCCTATACACAGCAAACGTCGACGACACTGTATTGACGACACGACATTTGCGATACAGCATATGTTGTAAATTGAATCCGTAGTCCGTAGTGTGAACAAAGAATCCAAATCCAACGATCCGCAATTCCAATCCGATCCGCGTCCACAATCCGTAGTGTGACACGGACATAAGAGCCGCCATCGTTTTGCCGCTTGAAGTTCGGCCACAAAACGACAGCGGCTCATAGGGGATCAGAGTGGGAAGAGCCGCCAGCGTTTTGGCGCTGCGTAAAATTGCACCTTAAGGCCGGAATTAGACTACGCATTGAAGATTGAGATTGAAGATTGAAGATTGAAATTTAACCAATAAGGACAAAGAAATTTTAGCTCCTTTCGATTGGTCAAATTTGAATTTTTCAATCTTCAATCTCAATCTTCAATGCGTAGTCTGATTCCGGCTTTAAGGAGCCAAACTTCAAGCGGCAAAACGACGGCGGCTCTTACAGCGAAAAGTAGACGTGTGTAGCATTGTTGGGACACTGAAATAAAATGTCACAAGTCGTGTATACAATAATATTTGTATTTTTATACTTTAGATTTAAATTTTATATCACCGAAGATGACCAAAGTAAAGGTCGAAACGTTTGATTCTTAATTGTATTTTAATTTAATTTATTTATGATATTATATTGATTTCGCAAAAAACAACCAGCTTCAAGCTCGTACAGCCCATATATTTTTATCGTTAATTTTATATGAATTGAGCTATTATATATAATATTAACTATTATTAACTGAAAATATAATTTAGTTTAAATTTACTTTGACACACGTTCTTAACCTTTTATTAGTTTTACACACGAATTAAATCTGTAGGAAAACGATTTAAAAAATATAGAATATCAATCCAGCGGCTAGCTTCTTCTCCTTTTAGATTAATGGCTTCTGCCTCCTTAAATCCAGCGGCTATCGATTTGACACTCCATGAAAAAGAAGAAAAACTTTAGTGGCTGGCGGTTTTAGTGGATGGCTCGACGGTGGCTCATAGGGGGTCAGAGTGGGGAGAGCCGCCAGCGTTTTGACGCTGCGTGAAATTATTTGTGTTATGTCCCCACTCAAAATTTTCCCCCATTCACCATGCCTTTACACCTCGACCAATCCTTTCCTGTGCCGTTGCGCCACAGCGCATAACCCAACCACCTCCAACTCCGAAACCCACCATCCTCTTCTTCGGGCGTGCCCAGGGGACTAAGGCCCGTATTCATAGTCAGACCTTGTACTTAAGGCTTCCTTAAATTTATCTTTAGATGCTCAGTAGCCAATGAAATAATTCGTAAAGCATCTAAAAATAAATTTAAGGAAGCCTTAAATATAAGGCCTGACTATGAATACGGGCATAAGGCCCTAGGAACAGATAGAAGTGATACGCGGACCAAGAGAGTTGGCCGATTCGCATCTTCCTCGTTCCGCGCGCGAGCCGTTCGAAGGCGCAACCGCGTGGTAGTTAATAAATTCTTGCGCACATTTTCCTTCCAATCCATTATTCTAGTTCTAAATTTAGTGCGACTAATAATAATTTGTAATTCGAATTGCGTTACTAACAATCTTAGTGATAAACACATTTGTAACCTTAAATTGAATAAATATTGGTATTTCATTATATTGATCGGAGTGAATCAAGATTATTTCAAAATTAACTGCTTCTCCATCTCTCGCGCGCCGTAACCCTATGAACTCCATTCATCACGCAATTGCTGAAGCCGAATTCCACACCAACACAGAAGGACCGCAACGCCAACCCCGCGGATCAAGGACGCCGTCTCTGCTGCTGGGAACCACAAGGAACCCCCTGGTAAACAAAAGCATCTTTCTCCACACAATTCCTAGCATCACGTGCCTCCTAATATATCGCGCGCCCCCTTAACATCGCGCATAAACCCGCGCCGCACGCGCATCCACTATCACCCTATCAACAGCCCCATAGCATATGTAACCCACCCAGTCGATTTAACATCTTACGGGAAGCCAATCCCATGCGCGCTGCTTGGTTGGATAGCGCGCGTAACGTCCTTATTTTATCAGCTTGACGAAGTTGTGTATTGCCCCGAGTGCTATTCGCACAAAGAACTTCCGTCTAAATCGCTATACCGCACCACCCTCCGCCACTATATAAATTACGGGGGACCCGAGTGCCGCGAAATCTGCGTCGCATGCGGATCATCCGTCGCGAACGCGCAGAGAATAGACGACTGCGAAACCTGCAAGGAAGTACACCCCGATTTCCTCGTGTACTTATAGCGTTTTCGATTGGGAAAAAGTTAGTGCGCACCAGTGCGCACTCAGTTCACATTAACACTGAACGAGTTCCATGGGTTGCATTGAATAGTGCAAATTCAAAAGAACACGCCAAAATTTTCAGTGCTAAAGCTGAAGTGCCATTTCGAGTTATAAGATTGTAAGGACTTGACTAGACTGCAGGAAAAACGCAGAAAAATAACCTCGACATCTCATGTTCATAACTTTAAGTAATGATTTTTTACTATATGTAATTAAATAATATATAAGATATCAAGAATATCATATATGTACATACTTATCAATAATTGTACACATTTGCATGCTATAAATTACAGATTTGCTTGTCCCTACTGTATATCCTTTCATGTCTTCTTCTTCTTCTATTTGATTGGCCCGGGTTCTCAGTAGCGAGGTAGGCTTGGCCAGTCGCCTCTATGGAAGTAGATTGGTTTGCAAGTGTTGATCTATTACTGCTATGATACGACCACGGTCCCCGGGAATAACAGGGGTACCAGCTCGTTATACACTGCTTTCATAAGTTCCTAAAGCAGAGGAATGATATTAAACTCCCCCCCCCAGAATCCCCCCCGCCCGACCCCCCCCCCAGGAAGCCGCGCAACGCGTAGAGGCATCGGAGAGAGAGCGGAGGGACGGAGGAGGAAGGGGGGAGCAGCCTCAGATCAATAACTGTAATGATTTAAAGAATGCGAGTAAGAGTCTGCATAATTTGGGAGAAGGTTTAGCTAACATGGGAAATATTATACTATATATTCCGCGAATGATGAGGAAGATTTTTCATTAAGTATTTATTCAAGAGTGCAAATCTGCCGCGAAATAGAGGACAATGGAAGATGACATGATTAATATCTTGTCTAGGGTTTCCACACGTACACGCAGGCGAATCCACCATGTTCTTTTTGTGTAAGCTGTAATTTAAATTGTAATGGTTTGCTCTCAATCTGTTGATTAAAACAATTTCTTGTCTATTGAGAGTCATACGTTGGAACCAAGTTTTTCCATAGTGATCAGAATAGAGACTGGCGTATTGTATGCCAGTGCGTGTGGAGGCTCCCTCGAAATAGCCAGCAAAGCGTTCCGACGCCCTCCTGTCAGCAATAAGAGCCAGGTCCGATGAGGGAAGTCTAAAGTTGTCCCTGAAATCCTCCGCAGTGGCCTCCTTGGCAGCTGCATCCGCAATCTCGTTACCACGGATCCCCCGGTGTGCGGGAATCCAAACCAGAGAGACCTCAATGCCCCTTAACGAAGAAGACCGTAAAAGACGCTTAATCCAGTGAATGACATAATTATTGTTGATAAGTTTGCAGGAGTTGATCGATTCTAAGACACTTTTGGAGTCAGAAAAAATTATAGCCTTTGTGTATCCTGCATCCTGAATGAGAAGAAGGGTCTGAAAAATCGCCCAGGCCTCAGCCGTGAAAACCGTTATATCCGAAGTTAGTTTGTATCTAAAGCTCACTTCAAGTTCTGGAGAGTAGGTGGCTCCTGCAGAGCCTTGTTCATCCAGCTTCGATCCATCGGTATAAAAGGTAATTGCCGAGTTTCTCAGTTTTGATGTATTTTCCAAAAATTCCTGTTTAATTACCTCATCTGATTTATCCTTGTTGTCGGAGACAGGCTGCAAATATTTGAAACGTGAAATAAAATCATGGTATGACGTTTCAAAGGCTGGATGCATGGTAGACTGGAATGACTTATCTATCATATGACTGTTGGTGATGTGAAACCTGAAAGACGGTGATGCCGAGAGAGCGTAAGATTTCTCCCGGGTTGTTACAGCCGCGAGTTCCAGAGAACACAGGCTGCGTACAACCACACTGCCCCTTCTATTGATTGATTTGAGAGTATATCTTTTAGACATATGAGCAAACCTAAGTCTTAGAGGAGGTTCCCTAGCCTCAAATAGGATGACATTAATAGGGGTCGATTGTCTGTAACCTAAGGCAATCCTCAAAGCCTTATGTTGTAGTCTTTCCAATTGTAATAATAAAGATTTATTATTATTCATTACAAATATTTGCGCCCCGTATTCGATGGAGCCTCTGAAAACCGCTCGATAAATTGTAATTAACGACTGAGAGTGGAATCCCCACCACACTGCTGCGAGGGAAGACAGAATATTAATAATTGACCAATCCTTCTTGATAACTTGTTTGAAGTGATCCATACCGTAGAGCTTGGAGTCAAGCGTAATTCCTAAAAACCTCGTGCAAGTAACTTTCTCCACCAACTGAGCATCGATGTAGAGTTCGAGGACCGCGGTATTACCACCTCTGTAGCTCCTTCCGGAGAATAAAATCCACTTGGTCTTGGACGGCGACAATTCCAGGCCCCTCTCTCTTAGATAATGGCACATGATGTCAAGTGATGATTGTATGCTCTCAACAGCTTCCCCAGCTTGTCCAGAGGAAGAGTAAATAACTATGTCGTCCGCATATTGTAAAAATTGGGTATTAGGGTGAAGATGAAGGTCCAGTTCTCTGACACTGATATTGAAAAGAAGCGGGCTGAGTGTAGAGCCCTGGGGGGTACCTTTGTTAGTTTCAAACTTCTGGCTGAGTTGGCCCTCCTCAACAAAGTGGACTGATCTGTGAGTGATGGTATTTTCGACAAATTTGCGAACCTTGGCAGAGACTCCAATTCTTCTGAGTTCCGTTAGTACCGATAGTGGCAGCACGTTATCAAACGCTCCCGTTATATCCAGAAAAGCCGCAGCAACGGCCTCCCCATTCAGAAAGCTGGCTTGTATTTTGTTGGTAAGAGTGACCAGACTGTCAGAGCAGGATCTATTAGGCCTGAAGCCCATTTGTTCTTGGGGTAGTAATGTCTGCGATTCTACCAGCCATTGGAGCCTGTAATATACAATCTTCTCAAAGGTCTTAAGAACGCAAGAGAGAAGCGAAATAGGTCTCAGGCCCACGTTATTAGGTTTCGGAATGAAAATGACTAGTGAAGTCTTCCATGAATTTGGTACGATTCCTTCTTTAAAAAGCCGATTGAATATATCCAGAAGGAATTCTCGGTACTTGTCAGGGAGAGAAGCCAGCATAACGTAACTGATTTGGTCGAGCCCTGGTGCCGACTTTTTATTAGCTTGAGTTAAAGCAAGGTTTAGTTCCTCCCTGGTAAAGGAATCCCCCAAAGTACCAAAAATTCTCTCTTGTTGGTGGAGGTCCTCCGCTATCATAGATTCCAAGCTGATGTTGAATTTTGGAGGGCAGAAAGGAGGACAGATCTTGTTCTTTGCCTCGGATAGAAGACCGCATTGTTGCTCGTGATCTGGAATCAACTTACTAAAATCAGCCATGTTGCGTCTCTTAAAAGTCTTAATTAAATGCCAGATGTCAGCCGTAGGAGTCTTACTGTCGAAAGAGTCGACAAATTTTTTCCATTGTTTCTGTTTTGTTCTATAAAGTTTCTTGGAGCATGCAGCCCTGGCCTTTTTAAAAGCCAGAAAGTTCTTCAGGGTGGGGCACCGTTGATATGTCTTGGCAGCGTTTCTTCTTTCCGAATGGCCTTGGAGCACTCCTCCGTCCACCAAGGAGGATGTTTTCTTTCACTGGGCGCCGGCACCGTTCTAGGAAGGTGTACTTTTTCCGGAAGTAGCGATCGCGTTGTATTCCTCAGATGGTCTGCAAAGAATTCGTAAGCTTCAATAGTATCATATAATAAATCAACCTGACTAAGACTCCTTATAAATCAAAAAACAATGAAAGAACAAGGGCAGTAGGAGTCAAGCGCGGGAGACGTTGCGCAAATAACACGACTATCGTAGCGTGAAACTTCTTTATTTTACTAAAGCGCTTTAGTAGTCAACGTCTCCCGCGCTTGACTCCTACTGCCCTTGTTCTTTCATTGTTTTTCTTCAATAGTATCTTCAGGAACTTCTCTAAAAAACGCTTCTGAAGAAGAAATTAAGCGAGGATGAAGCCCTTTGGCGTTTTTTCCGTCTAGATTTAGCTTGTAACTGAATATGTAACGAGAGCCAGGAGAGCCGCTAATGGATATGTTGATAGGGAAGTGATCGCTGCCTGCAGTATCCCCTTCGGTAACTACCTTACATAAGGTCGCCAGTTCCGCAGATATAATTGTGATGTCAATGATTGATTTATTGTGGCCAGGTGGTATGAGAAGCGTGGGTTTTCTGTCGTTAATAATGCACGCATGAACATCCTCCATGACACCCAGAAGTAGTTTTCACTGTCGGTCAGAATTAGAACACTCCCAGGCGGTGTGATGTACATTAAAATCTCCTACTACTATAATAAAATTTTTCCCGAGGTATTGAGAAATCTTATAGAACCATTCTCTTGGTGTGTGTATTAGGATGGCGATACACATTAATGATGACCAGTTGTTCGTTATTGTACTTGATTAAAATTCCTTGTATTTCCACCGAGGGGTGTTGTAAGTTAGATGTGTCGTAATGGTTGAATATAAGATTGTTTCTGATAAGTATGCATATGCCCCTTTGTCCTGGATGTGTAGAATCTTTCCTGACAATTTGAAAGGCGGAGAGTCTGAAAGTTGATTTTGAAGAAAGTAAGGTGTCTTGAATGCAGAGGATGTCAAATTGACGGCAAATATGTTGAAGATGTGGAAGTTTGCCGCGTATACCGCAACAATTCCATTGTAGAATTCTAATATTGTTGGCCAAATCTTTGTGAGTGAAGATGTTGGTTATTAGCAGGGTCGTAAGGAGTGTTATAAGAAGGGTCTGGATGAGGCTCGTACGCATGGTGTGCTGGATCCGATGGGAGCAATCCCATAGCAGCGAGAATGCCATGTATCTTGCGGAGCCAATGAATTATGACTTCTGATAGCTCCGTAATCGCTGGGATGTTAATCAGGGAACCGCAATGTTTTAAGAAATTAATGATTTTTTGAATTGTAATACCTGCGTCTCCTCCAAGGAGATTACCGGTTGACGAGAAAGTCGGCGATTCCTTTGATGCGTTGTCAAGCAAGGGTCGAGGCTCAGGTTCAATATTTGGTCCATAACGGCCATTGGGAGCGTTGAGTATGTTGTAGTGCTCCTGAAAGTATCCTAGGATATCTGTGTGGTTATTCTTGTGGGCATTGAAGGGCGATTGTTCCGAATCAGCTGATCAACTGATTTTATATCTGCCGTTGAAGGATTCATTGCTGCGAATTGTTGGTTTTCCGGTTTTAGGAGTTGATGATGTCGGATTAACCTGCGTATTCCTATTAGATGCAGCCATGTCCGCATAGCTTACTTAATGGTTATGATTTCCATCGTCCTCATGTTGCAGGTACTGAAATCTATTTAATAGTGGTGAGGCTGTCTTCTGAGGAGAGTGTTTGAAAGTGTTCCAGCTGGGAGAACTAGATTTGGATGGCAAGTAGGGATAGTTCTTAAAATCAGTGCTTATGTCTTGTGATGTGGGGGAAGAAGAAAGATGAGATGAGACAATTCTGCGAGCCTCTATGAGAGGGATGTTTTCCTGAGCCGCAAGATTAATAACAGATTTGTGTTTGATGATGAAGGTGTGTGAGGTTTCTAGATGCTCTCCCCCACAGTTGATGCACGTAGCCCGCGATTTGTCGGCTGGACATGAGTGGTCTTCCTCGCACGAAGATCCGCAAAACAAGCAACGAGGCCGCGAGCTCTTGTAATCGCGTCCAATATGACCTACTCTGTAGCAGGTATAGCATATTTTAGCCTTAGGAACGAAAGCCTCCACTTTGTATAAAACATTGAAAAGAACAACCTCAGAGGGGAGTATCTGTCCTGCAAATTTAATGCTAATAGTACGAGACGGTACATACGTAGTTTTGCCGTTATCAGACACACGTCTATTTAATCTTTGGATGTCTAAAATTTTTGCTTTAGAAACAATGTTTTCTTTGATGCAATCGATCGAAATAGATTGGTCAACTCCCCTAATAATTCCCGAACGGAGAACCTTAAAAGATGGGATAAAAGCCCTGAGATTGTTCCTTTCAAAGACGGAATTAGATAACAAACGGTTGGCTGCATCTGCGGACTTAGCTTCTATGATTGCTTTCCCCGCCCCGAGTCTCTTAATTAAGAGAATGTCATTTTTAATTGAATCGGATATGATGCGCGATAGCACTGAAAAATGCATCGTGGAAGGCTTATCTGAGTAAACGTATACGACATATGGGGGAATGTCGTTATTGGAATATTTATATATAGGGCGAGTGGGATTAAGAGCTTTAGTATCATAAGCAGGTGTCGCAGGCGTGTTATTAGCGAGGTTATGTTTAGATTTACCTGTCTTGGTAGGGGGATCATTTGCTTTGATTTTAAGCTTTACCTCGTCTTCAGTATCCTCGTTTGTCTGAGGCGCACGCTTACGTTTAAGTCTTTCGATATCTATATCCATAGGTAGAGGTACATTAATGGCTGTTTCCTTGAGAGAGAAGGACATTCGTTGTGCGACGCTGTCATCGTTCTTGTTGTAATTGATTGCGTCATCCATTGGAATGGCCTGCATATCTTTCTCAATTCCTTTCATGACAGTATTACCTTCCTGACATCCTTCCTTAGCGGCCGCAAACTCGGAAAAGTTAGTGGATGCCATGGTTCTCAAATCCGATAAGGAGATGGAATTTCCTGTGGAAATAATAGACCGAACCGCGGCCAAAAAACCCCCCCCCCCCCTCGCCCCAATATCAGGGGACGATGCCCCGACATGGGACCGAAGGGAGACGTATCCTAAAAAGAAACGCGATAGAAACGCAAAAAGCGCAAACTGCAAGGGTCGGCTTAGTAACCGACCAAATAATAACGGTAAAAAAGCACTCGTCGAGATCGAATGCAATAGAAAATGCCCCGAAAAGACAGACACGAACGAATACACGTGTGCATCCAAAGCGCCACCTCGCGGAACTCCCATCCTTTCATGTGACAAAACGATGCACTGATATCCTATATATGTATCCAGTGCACTGGACTGGCACCGTCAAAATATCTCGTGCCACTTTGTGCGCACTGAGTGCGCACTACGCGAGTGTCGTGCGGTCAAATGAACACGTGACACTAGCTAAGTGCGCACTGGCATTGCCAATCGAACACGCTCTTGACACTGAGTGCAGCTAGTGCACCCCAATCGAAAACGATATTAGATTGAAAACGGTCGACGCCGTGGGATGAGAACGAGCTCTCAATAGTGGGGATCAGAACCATTCGCCTCTAACGCCTTACCACGTGATAAATATATAAATTAGGTTTAATAAATCCCGCTAGGAGCCCGGCAGCCAACCGCGAATCCGTATCCAACGGACGCACAGCTCCGGACGTAAAGCTGGAAACACAATGGGCACAGGCAATAGGCACAGGCAACAGGGAATAATGAGACGTCCAATTAGAGCTGTGGGATATAATATCGAACTTATATCCCAGAGCTCTAATTGGACGGTTCGTTAGTTCCTGTTGCCTATGCCTATTGCCTGTGTCTATTGTGTTTCCAGCTTAACACTTGAGATAGTGCACTAGTGAGTGTAGCATGAGTTAATGGATGTTACTATTTCCCTCCGTCCAGACGCCTGCTGCCACCCGATGGTATGTCGCGCGCCACAGGAGAAGAGGGAAATTTAAAAGAAGAGTTCACTAGCTTTCATGAAAGTTAGGAGAGGAGCCTACATAACTTGGGGGGAGGGTGGGAAAGGAGAGGGAAGATGTCCTCGGAGGATATTTGTTATGAAAGTAAGAACGAAGTCGAAGAGCTGATCATTCGCTCGTGAGCTCTCGTACTGTGGACCTTTTTGCGTCTGCGCTCTGCTGTTGTCTCCCGTGCTTCCCCGGCTTTGGCCTGCTTTTCTTGGTATCTGTGCTTTCTTCATTGAGGTTTCTTTTATCCTCTTACGCGTAAGTACGCTCTTTTTTGCCTGCTCTGTAGCCTTTTGTCCCTGCTATGCAGGAAGGTGTTTCTGCCCCACCGGATCCCGGCGGTGGCTCGGCACCCGTTGGTATACGAGTTTCTGCGTCCCTTGAGGACTTTAACGTTTTTTTCGGGCGCGCGAGCGGTGGTCATGATGCTGATGAAAATAAACAGCCTGAGACAGCACATTTAATGCCCCCCCCTTCGGCTAATTACCTAAAATCATCATCGCCAGTTGCATCACCCTCTTGCAAAAAGGCGGACATCAAACAAAAAAAGAAGGGCATGAGGGGGAGGGACACGCGAATCTCGACTTCGCGTGATCTTTCTCCGTCCATTTCTACAGCCTCGATTTCTTCGTCGCGATCGCGCTCTCGCTCTCGACCCCGTTCTTCGCTGAGTGCATGTGGTGACCGTGAATCTAATCCTCCTTCGCTTAATAACGATATTCCTATGGATACGGATAATGACGAGGTGGACATTCAAACTTCGGCTTCGCGGGCTTCGCCGAAAGCCGTTAGTGACAATAAGGGGGAAAAACCTCCGAGCAAGCGCGCTCGTGGCTCGACATCGAATGGTGATGAGCCCGCGCTTGGGATGCTGCAAAACGCAAACGCTAACGATAACACTAATGTAACCGTAGCTGATTCCGGCCACCCTAACATAACCTATGATAAAGGAGACCGCTCTCCCTTTGTGGTATTTGTGCGGCGCATTGCTGACGGTTCTAATAATGATGTGCGCCTAGATCCTATATCGGTCGCACGAATTGTCTCGCGATTCGCCGACGGAAAAATCTTAGAGGTTAAGTCGGCAGGTAGGAACAAAGTTGCTGTTCATTTTGGCGACTACGCAATTGCTAATCGTGCGCTTTCGCACCCGAGTATTAAGGAGGCCGGCCTCACTGCGTCCATTCCTTCATTTAACATTCTCCGTACTGGTGTTATTAGAAACGTGCCCCTCGACATCTCAGAAAATGATGTAGTGAACCTCTTCTCATCCCAATTTAAAATTTTATCGGCCAAACGCTTAAATATTAGAACTCGGAAAGACGGCGAACTAATCACTTCGCCTTCTAGAACTGTCCTGATTAAATTTCGTGGCCAAAACTTACCACGGGCTGTCACCTTTTTACATGTTAATTTTCCCGTTTACCCTTATATCCCTAGGGTTCTAATGTGTTTCTCATGTCTTAGATACGGTCACGTCAACGCGGATTGCAAAAGTAAGGCACGTTGTGCTCGTTGCGGTAATAAAAAACATGCTACGCCTGATGAGTGCCCTCGACTTCGGCTTCCTCCTCATTGCTGCAACTGCGGGGGTGAACACTTGCCGTCTTCCTCGGTGTGTCCTTCCTATTTGAGACATAAACATATCTACGCAACTGCGGCTCTTGAAAATATTTTGTACGCTGAGGCACGCCTTAAACTCGATGCCCCCTCTCTCTCTCCTTCTTCCTCTCCCCCTCCTAATATTTTTCATCTCTCTGACTTTCCTACTCTCTCACATTCTTCAACATAGCCCCGTTCTCCCGTAAACTATAACGATCTTACTGTTTTAGATTCAGCATACAATGCAAGCGAGCCCGTGGCTCGAACCCATATTCCGGATCGCTTTTTTGCCGCTGTAACTAGAAAGTCCTTTTCCACTTCTACTTTTAACGATCTTTTACAACAGCGACCTCCGCGGGAATATCTCCCGTCTGCTCACTCCTCTGTCACTCTCAGTCAATACAGTGTCTTGCCTCCTAACAGGAGCAGATCCATGGACCAGCGGGCTGTGAACTCCCGCGATCTATTACGTGAGGCCCATAACTCGTTCCTCTATGCACCAAACGGCAGATCTCCTAATTTGTCTTCCTCGGGACACGGCTATCCTTCCTCTACCACTTCATCCTCCCCTTTCATTCAGGCTTCCACCACACCACCTAATCCTCCCCTCTCTTCCTCTCCCTCGGATCCTAACTCTAACACAAACGATCTATCTCACTTTATTCGTTATATTATCTCATTTCTGCTAAAGATTCTTGACCTTATTCCGTCTACGTTCCTTTCTGCAATGTTCGGATCTGATTTTCATAACAGCCTCAATCTATTTAAAGCTTTCTTGAATAATTATGTCTAATCCACACTCTTTAAGAATAGCGTACTGGAATTGTTGCGGTGCTCTCGGTAAAAAGGGTGAGAAACATAGAAAAGTTGGCTGAATCATTTGACATCTTGTTCCTGGCCGAAACTTGTGTTGATTCCTCGCATGATTTTCGCGTGTGTGGTTTTGTCTACGCATCGACTCCAACTTGGCCAATATTAGGAGTATGATGGTCTTCATTCGTAACCCGATTATTTATTCACCTTTAGACCTTTCCTCCTCGCTCGACGACTCTTTCGAGGCATTAGGTATATCACTCACTTTAGATAACTCACGTTTACTTCTCATTGGGGCATACAGACACCCCAATGCTCCCGCTTCGGCCAAGGTCATTTCTTCTATTACTTCTTATCTAAATAATCATGATTATTCTATCTTGCTTGGTGACTTGAATGCTCACCATCCTATGTGGGGTGGCTCTCGCACTAACTCGGCTGGACGCTTGCTTGGCCGATGTATCGATGACTATCACTTGGTTATACTTAATCCTCCCTCCTCCCCTACTTACATTTCTTTTTCTCCTCCCAGCTCTTCCACTATCGATCTCGCAATCGCTTCCCCTCGCATCTCCTCTTTATGCAACGCTCAAGTCTTGCCAGACCTACTAGGCAGCGATCATTATCCTGTAGAAGTTCGGATTAATTGCATGGTCCATACTTCCTCGGTTTTCTCGAACAA